AACAGCAACAGCAGGCCATGCAGCAACACAGGTAAAACAGTGCGATGACTGATGAGAAGGTTGCATAACAATTGAGACACAAGTCTGATTTGCTTGCAGCCTTATGTCGATGTGGCTGTCTCAGTGAACACACTTGGAGGAACAGAATTGATATGGCTCTTTCAGTGAACACACTTGAGGAGGATTCCTCAAGATTTCCTCAATTCGAATCGTCAACCTTGCCAAGCAATGCCATGCTGACTCAAGATTTCCTCAACCTTGCAGCAACCTGTTTAAGTTGACAGGTTGCTATTGTTCTGAGCAGTGTGAGGAAACAATAGATGCCATCCACTGTGACCTTGCCCGATGTGCCCATGTCGGTGCAAGGGGTCAGTGGCATGGCACAAGTGAACACACTTGAGGAACAATTGCTTGTTGACAATTTGGGAGTCACACCTTTGCAGCTTCTGCCGGCTCTTGCACAGACGTCCTCAGCCTTGCGAAAACCTGTTGGTGTTGCCGGGCTCTCACACGAAGAGCCATCAAGTTTCCTTGCTTGGGGACACAAAGGCCAGCCATCTAGTGTGACCTTGCCCGACGTGCCAATGTCGGTGCAAGGGGTCACTGGAATGGCACAGCTTCCGGTTGCTCTGTTCACACACCGGCTTGGACAGAAATAATACTACATTTTTTCATGGTTTTTTCAACAATTTTCAGTGTCTGCAAATCTCCAGTTACATTAATTCTGGACAAACCTACCGTGTCGTAACGTATCCAATAAGTCTTTGTTCAGGTTGACTTCTGATTTTGATAACTTTGGTTTTTGCCAAGCCCACTGATCCAGCCCCCGCGGATCCAACCCTACAAACGAGCATATTGATTTGTTTAATCAGAACTCTTTCAAATCTTGAACTCCGAGGGTCGGGCCTTGGGTTGCTGGGGCACCCCTGCCTTCCTTCTAAGTCGCAACCCTTACAGATCATGAACTCCGAGGGTGGGGCCTTGGACTCTGATGGAGCGGGGCGCCTCTGATTTTTAAATCAGAACCCTTACAGATCCTTGAACTCCGAGGGTGGGGCTTTGGACTGATGGGGCACCCCTGATTCTTAAATCAAAGCTTTGACAGATGTTGAACTCCGAGGAGGAGGCCCTGGACTGATGGAGCGCCCATGATTTTCAGATCACCGCCTCTTAGTGAGCTTGAACTCCGGGGGTGGGGCCTCGGACACCCCTGATTTCTAAATCACAACCCTTACAGATCTTGAACTCCGAGGGTGGGGCCTTGGACTCTGATGGAGCGGGGCGCCCCTGATTTTTAAATCAGAACCCTTGCAGATCCTTGAACTCCGAGGGTGGGGCTTTGGACTGATGGGGCACCCCTGATTCTTAAAGCAAAGCTTTGACAGATGTTGAACTCCGAGGAGGAGGCCCTGGACTGATGGAGCGCCCATGATTTTCAGATCACCGCCTCTTAGTGAGCTTGAACTCCGGGGGTGGCCTCGGACGCCCCTGGTTTTTTTGATCAGAACTCTTTCAAAGCTTGAACTCCGAGGGTCGGGCCTTGGGTTGCTGGGGCACCCCTGATTTCTAAATCACAACCCTTACAGAGCTTGAACTCCGAGGGTGGGGCCTTGGACTCTGATGGAGCGGGGCGCCCCTGATTTTTAAATCAGAACCCTTGCAGATCCTTGAACTCCGAGGGTGGGGCTTTGGACTGATGGGGCACCCCTGATTCTGAAATCAAAGCTTTGACAGATGTTGAACTCCGAGGATGAGGACTTGGACTGATGGAGCGCCCATGATTTTCAGATCACCGCCTCTTAGTGAGCTTGAACTCCGGGGGTGGGGCTTTGGACGCCCCTGGTTTTTTTAACCAGAACTCTTACAAATCTTGAATTCCGAGGGTCGGGCCTTGGGTTGATGGGGCACCCCTGATTTCTAAATCACAACCCTTACAGATCTTGAACTCCGAGGGTGGGGCCTTGGACTCTGATGGAGCGGGCGCCCCTGATTTTTAAATCAGAACCCTTACAGATCCTTGAACTCCGAGGGTGGGGCTTTGGACTGATGGGGCACCCCTGATTCTTAAATCAAAGCTTTGACAGATGTTGAAGAGGAGGAGGAGGCCCTGGACTGATGGAGCGCCCATGATTTTCAGATCACCGCCTCTTAGTGAGCTTGAACTCCGGGGGTGGGGCCTCGGACGCCCCTGGTTTGTGTAATCAGAACTCTTTCAAATCTTGAACTCCGAGAGTGGGGCCTTGGACTCTGATGGAGCGGGGCGCCCCTGATTTTTAAATCAGAACCCTTACAGATCCTTGAACTCCGAGGGTGGGGCTTTGGACTGATGGGGCACCCCTGATTCTTAAATCAAAGCTTTGACAGATGTTGAACTCCGAGGAGGAGGCCCTGGACTGATGGAGCGCCCATGATTTTCAGATCACCCAGATCACCGCCTCTTAGTGATCTTGAACTCCGGGGGGTGGGGCCTCGGACGCCCCTGGTTGTTTTAATCAGAACTTTTTCAAATCTTGAACTCCGAGGGTCGGGCCTTGGGTTGATGGGGCACCCCTGATTTCTAAATCACAACCCTTACAGATCTTGAACTCCGAGGGTGGGGCCTTGGACTCTGATGGAGCGGGCGCCCCTGATTTTTAAATCAGAACCCTTACAGATCCTTGAACTCCGAGGGTGGGGCTTTGGACTGATGGGGCACCCCTGATTCTTAAATCAAAGCTTTGACAGATGTTGAACGCCGAGGAGGAGGCCCTGGACTGATGGAGCGCCCATGATTTTCAGATCACCGCCTCTTAGTGAGCTTGAACTCCGGGGGTGGGGCCTCGGACGCCCCTGGTTGTTTTAATCAGAACTCTTTCAAATCTTGAACTCCGAGGGTGGGGCCTTGGACTCTGATGGAGCGGGGCTCCCCTGATTTCTAAATCCCAACCCTTACAGATCTTGAACTCCGAGGGTGGGGCCTTGGACTCTGATGGAGCGGGGCGCCCCTGATTTTTAAATCAGAACCCTTACAGATCCTTGAACTCTGAGGGTGGGGCTTTGGACTGATGGGGCACCCCTGATTCTTAAATCAAAGCTTTGACAGATGTTGAACTCCGAGGAGGAGGCCCTGGAATGATGGAGCGCCCATGATTTTCAGATCACCGCCTCTTAGTGAGCTTGAACTCCGGGGGTGGGGCCTCGGACGCCCCTGTTCTTTTTTAATCAGAACTCTTTCAAAGCTTGAACTCCGAGGGTCGGGCCTTGGGTTGCTGGGGCACCCCTGATTTCTAAATCACAACCCTTACAGAGCTTGAACTCCGAGGGTGGGGCCTTGGCCTCTGATGGAGCGGGGCGCCCCTGATTTTTAAATCAGAACCCTTACAGATCCTTGAACTCCGAGGGTCGGGCCTTGGGTTGCTGGGGCACCCCTGATTCTTAAATCAAAGCTTTGACAGATGTTGAACTCCGAGGATGAGGACTTGGACTGATGGAGCGCCCATGATTTTCAGATCACCGCCTCTTAGTGAGCTTGAACTCCGGGGGTGGGGCCTCGGACGCCCCTGTTTTTTTTAATCAGAACTCTTTCAAATCTTGAACTCCGAGGGTCGGGCCTTGGGTTGCTGGGGCACCCCTGCCTTCCTTCTAAGTCGCAACCCTTACAGATCATGAACTCCGAGGGTGGAGCCTTGGGTTTATGGGGCGCCCCTGGTTTCTCGGGTTTCTCGGGTTTCTCGAGTTTCTCGGGTTTCTCGGGTTTCTCGGGTTTCTCGGGTTTAGTGGTGCGCGTCCGCTGTTTGCGCGCGCAATGGAAATATCGTCCGTATTGCAGGGGCCGCCGAAGCTGGTGAGCTGGTGAGACACGGGTGTCAGGGCTCTTGCCTTGCTACTAGGGTTTGGGGCTTTCTGGGTTTTGGTTTGGAATATGCTTCTATTGGCTGCAGTAGTCGTGATAGCCACCCTTTGCAGCCGCAGACAGCAGAACCATCGTCACGCGCGTGCGCGCGCGAGATTTGTCAGACATCAAGGCGCCAAAGGCTGAGACGCTGAGAGGTCTTGCGGCCTTGCGGTTGCCGGTTGCCGCTTCGGTGCAGCGACTCCCACAAGCTCCCGAAGAGCTGCTCAGCAGCTTTCGTGAGACTTTCATTCTTGACAACGTCAATCCTCCGAATGAAAATCCATCATGGCTCTTCCATCCAAAAGGTCATTGTGTAACCGTATAAACCCTGGGGGTTGTCAACAGAAAAAGGTTTAATTCCGATTGAGACTTCACTAAGCAAGCTGCGAATTATCATACGTTACCTCATCCGTTTGCATCGTTCCATGGCCCAATGGCTGTATGCTCCCGAACTTCTCCGCAAGTGTCGAAGCCTCTTCTCTTGGTTCTGACCGGACTGAAATGGTTTCTGCGAAACCCCACAGCAGTAGCCCTTTGCCCTGCACACCCTAAACTATCCCCCCGCTTTCGGTGGTCGGCTCGGGAGCAGTGCCTCGCTGCCGAGTCCCAAGGTGGCCAGGCCTGCCCGCGCGAAAGAAAGAGAAAGAGAAAGAGAGAGAGAGGAGAGCGAGAGAGGCACAAAGGGCGAGCCGGGAGAGGAACAAGAAGCTCCCTCTTAGAGCGCTCTTGGTGCCCTGCGCATTAGCTTCTGCAGGGCCAAGCCGCGGGACTGGTCGCCTGAGGCAGGAGAGAGAGGCAGAGAGAGAGAGGGGGAGAGGGAGAGGGAGAGGTGTGGATTCGTGGGGATGGGCCCGCTGCCTGAGCTTGGCTGAGGCTTCCTGATTCCAATCTCCCTGGAGTTTTTCGGCAGGGATGACTGTCTGGCTAACAAGAGATTCACGGAAATGTGCTCGCGCATGCTTACAGCACGGAAGTTCGTATGCGTCGATCTTGACATGAAGGGTTGTGAAGCGGCAGTGATCTGAAGCCACTCGTTTACTGGAAGTGTCTATCCGGTGTGCACACGTCAGTCACGTCTGCGATGCAGGTTTTGTATCCGTTGCAGCAGCATGCGTGCTTTGCGCACCTCTGTCCATGTTCACCAAGGCCCATCCTATCTTAGTATTACTGACGTTTTCCACAATTGGCTCTTGACGGGCCCTTGGAACGCGGTCATTCGCCAGCGAAGCTACACGCAGGGCAGGCGAGAAGTCCCGCAGCACCGAGGGGCAACTCACTGAAATGAAGCATAAGAACATCCGCGATGTTGTCTCTGAAGCTTTCATGCAGAATGGGGAGATCGAGTCCCTGCATGCTCGGCAGAGTTGCAGAGGAGACGGAGGCGGAGTGGGAGGGGACGTTCCTTTGCCGGCGCCTTCAGCGAGGAGCCGGCCAAGCGGCTGACTCAGCGCCTCCTCGCGGCCGAAAGTCGCACTTCCGGCACTTCGGGACTTCTCTTTCCCAGCGCTGCTCTCCGGCTCTGGTCCTGGTGAGACTCGGTGTAGGCCACGCGCGGCTCCTGCAGCCGCGAGAGGCGAGAGCTGCTGGAGAGGCAGACGGGGGGGGAGTCAGCCGAGTCCTGAATTCGCCGAGGCTTCCTTAGGACAGGACAAAACTCAAAGCCACGGCAGAGCGAAGTGAAAGCTTGGGAGGGCGCCAGAGCGTCCTCACCAGGTCCGTCACGTTCCAGGCCTCCTCGGGCTCCTGAGCAAAGGGGGCCGGGGGCTCACGGCACACACGGCACACACGGCACACACGGCACACACGGCACACGCGCGCGCAGCCGTCGCTTTCCGCGGTCCTGGAGCAGCTGCCGGAAGAGCTGGGCGCCTGCAAACCAACTTGGAAAGGGTTTTTCTGCACGCGCCGCGCCCACGCCCTCTTGGCTCCGGGCTGGAGGGCACCAGCCGGCCGCTGAAGCCTGGGCAACTTGGGCTCGGCCCTTTCTTCGGCTGAGTCTGCTGAGGCCCAAAGCCGAAGCCCCCGTCTTCCACGCTGCGGCAGAGCACGGGATGGCTCGAGAAGTCCTGGCCGCCACAGCTGCGGCTGGGCCCCCCCGCGGGGCCCCCCCCGGCGCCAGTCCTCCGCCAAGGTGATGCCAGAGGAGGGCAGCAGGCGATGCACCAGGTGGTTCGCCAGCATCAGATACGTGGCGGACCTCAGCACAGCCATATTTGCATACGTATCTTCAGATGCCAGCGCAACGCTCAATTCTCGCCACATAACAACACCTGTGCCGAAGGGAACACCTTGCGTGCAAGCACACAACACACACAACAACGACAGCGCACTTCGAGGCTCACCGCGCGAGGAAAGAGAGAGCCCGCGCGCCGCTGCGGCCGGGAGCGGAGCTCTGAGGCGCTGAATTTCAGCAGACGCAGACTCCCCCCGTCCCGTCCCGTCGTGCGGAGCAGCAGACAGCAGCGAACTGAGCTCGAACTGAGTTGGAAGCTCGAGGTCCGCGTCCCAGCCGAAGTGCCTAATGGCAGAGAGCAGAGAGAGAGAGAGAGCGAGAGGGCGAGAGGCGAG